CAATGCAGAAGCAGGTGGACGCTCACGCGGAGCGAATGGATCCCGTCGCCAACTCCCTGACTCTCACCTCGCCGTTCGTTCTGGCGCCGGGGGAAGTTCTGGGTCTCGCTAGTCTCATCGCTTCAGCAAACACCCAAACAACCTCAGGTACCGTTTTACCTCGCCTTGAGTGGGAAAATCTCATCCCAAATTCCAAAGATTTCCTTACCAGCAGAGGGCAGGTTGTCATTTTTCCAGAGGAAAAGCGGTGAGATGCAGCCAAACACACCCAACTCCTGCTTCCTGCCCGGGATGTTTTCACCGTCGAGGCTAACAAAGCAGAGTTCAAGCTGGTGTAAATAAAGGTAGTTCCAGCTCTGCTGAGCTCAGCTGTGGGTTTGCTCCAGGGCTGTTACAAGCAGCAGAGCTTGGGAAAACGAATTTGGCTGATTGCACTGGAAGAATAACGAGAACGATGGCCCGTGCCAAAGCCGGGGCGCTGTGGGGCGGTCGGGGAACGGTGTGCTTTGTTCTCTACCAGCTACGAGAGTTGGGTGAATGTTTTGCTGTGTGTAAGTGCTGAGTAAGGAAATCAGACCCCTCTGCCTGTGCCCGGCCGCAGGGACTTCAGCCACGCTCCAGCCTTGCGCTCGGAGCGTTCGGCCCGTCACGGCACCAACAAACCCCAGTTCAGAAGGGGACAGGCGACCGGAAGCGTTCCTCTTCCCGCTGGGAGGGAAAGTCTTCCCTCGGGGATGTGCCACAACCTCAGAAGGGGTGTAAAACTTGGGAATTCCCTGCCCTGGATGGCGTTCCTGCCGCGGTCACCTGTTGGCAGGTGAATCTGGCTCTGGAAGCATGTGGGAGTCAGAGGCCGGCGCCCCGCCGAAAGGCCGTGGGAAAGCTTAAGCGCGCTCGCAGCCGGCACGTACCTTCTCCTGGCGCGATTGCAGCCCTTTAGTCAAAATCGCTCTTCTTTTTCCATCGCCTCCATTCCTTTGGTGTGGACATGGGTCCTATCCTCTCTGCCTCGCCGGGCCGAGCGAGTTGCTCGCTCCGAGTCTGTCGAATCCATCCGTGCCGGGCGGGCGGGCGGTCACCGGCAGAGCCTTGTAAATCCCCGTCCCTCACCGCACCGCTCCTCGCGTGTCCTGCAGCGTAATCGCCTTTCTCAGCGCGGCGGCGGCTCGTTGTCGGCGTGTGTCTGGACTGAAACACCCTGGGATTTTCCCCCCACCCCAGAGCATCAGCAGTAAGCCGGTCAGCGTGGAAATCACCAGCATCTCTGCTCCCGCCCGCGTCGGGAGGCTTTTTTGTCCCATTTCCCACAAGGGGGCATCAGCAACCGAATTTTTTTCTTCTCTCTCCTAAATTCCCTCGATTTTTCTGTTCTTGAAACTGTTCGCTGCTCTGAAGAATCATAGAATCATAGGTTTGGGTTGGGAGGGACCTTTAAGATCATCCAGTTCCAACCCCCCTGCCATGGGCAGGGACCCCTTCCATAGCCCAGGTTGCTCCAAGCCTCATCCAGCCTGGCCTTGGACACTCCCAGGGATGGGGCATCCACAGCTTCTCTGGGAACCTGTCCCAGTGCTCCCCACCCTCTGCGGGAAGAATTCCTTCCTAATATCCAATCTAAACCTCCCCACTTTCAATTTAAACCCGTTACCCCTTGCCCTATTGCTACAGGCCCTTGGGAAAAATCCCCCCCAGATTCCTTGTAGCCCCTTCAGGTCCTGGAAGGCTGCAATAAGGTCTCCCTGGAGCCTTCTCTTTTCCAGGCTGAACAAGCCCAATTCCCTCAGCCTTTCATCACAGGAGGGGTGCTCCAGCTCTCTGAGCATCTTCAAGAAATCTGGATGCAAACTGCCGAAGCCGGTCGCTAGTCCCGCGGTATTTTCACACGCTCGGCCCGCGGCCTTTCCGAAGTCTTGCTCTTTGAAAACAAACCCCTCTACCCTTTGTGCAACCAGGAGCCGGTGAGAGGAAGGGAAGAAAGGCTGGAGGGGTTAAGGCAGGGGAACTCTGCGTGAACTTCCCCTTGTGTGCTTCTCATCTGTTTATCTACACCGCAGGGAGGTGCAGGATCTCTTTTTTTTAAGAGGGATTGTGGGTTTTATGCACTGAGTTTGGGCCCGTTTAGTTCATTTCCTGCTCCATTCTTACAAAGTCTGCCTTGGAATAGGAACTACTACGGTCAATTGGAGGAAGAAACATTGTTTTTTTGGAACTGAGAAGACTTGTTTATCTTGTTCAGATCAATACCCCGCTGCAGCAGCCGTGGCCTTTCCATTGCCGGACCTGATACGGGAGGAAGGCGGGCCCAGTCCGTTGGAATCGCGCCATACGCGCAGCCAACTTCCACCTGGGAGCGCGAGGTGCCGTTAACTGCCTCGTGCCGAAACGTTTGGGTCACGAAGCGATGCTGGAGTCTCTCCTTGGAGACTTTCCCGGCTGAGGAAGAACTCGGCTGCTGTGACTTATTCCCCGCAGCCAACGAGTTTAACGTATTCCGTACGTTTGTCAGGTTCCAGTACGATGCGAAGCTGAGTAATTCCATGCGTAGCAACTGCTCTGCGCAACGTTACGGCACTTGGGCTCCGGCACATCTGGGAATGGCATCGGGCAGCATCTTGAAAAGCCA